ATAAAAGAGGAAACAAAGGAAAGGGGAGAGCAGGAGGAAGCCCACAGGCAGAAGACTCTGGAACGAGCTTTCCTGTTCACCTGGAAGTCCTCGCTGGCTCAGGGGCTCTGTCCATGATAGAGTCCAAACTCGACCTGACAGTGGGACTGTGCCCCTCTGTGCCTGGTGCTGCCTGGACAGACAGCCAGTTATCCTTAGAGAGGGTCTGTGAGAGGAGTTTCCTTGGTCCCTCTGGAGAAAACCTGGAGGAGTGTGCTGGTGGGCATGGTGCACGGGCTGATGAATGAACACACACACACACACACACACACACACACACACACACACACACAAACACAGGTGCAGAAAAGAATCACTCAAGTCCTGCTTAGCCTTGCAAAGGGCTACGCGGTATTGATACATCTTGGCACAGATGGCTGATCCTGGGTGGTCCCAGAAGTGACCGTCTCCAGGCACCTTCCAGCTCTAATAGCCTTTTGTTTCCGGGCACCCCTAATTTTCCACCTCCCCCCTCCACAAGGAGCTTTCCTCCCCCTAAACCCTCTGCATGCCTTTTCAAAGGTCTCCTGTTCTGGGGAGAAACTTCTGGTTTAACTTCAGTTAGAAGATTTGTCTGGGTGGTGCTGTTTACCACTCTCTGCAAATGGAGCCTGCACCCCAGCAGGGGTCCTCAGCTGACACCACCCCCACCCCACCCCCACCCCCGCACATGCTACCAGCATCTCTGCATCCCAGCGGGGGCTCCCTCCCTCCCCTCCGACTGCCTTCAGGACCCTGGTCAGCTCCGGCAGCCGCCGCATCCTCTGGACCAAAGAAGTCGTTTTCTTTGCGTGCCTGGAAGTTTCCTCTCTTTGAGGCTGAGCCCTGGGATCCCTCTGGGGGAATTTGTCCTTCAGTTCAGCCAGGAGGACTCTCCTCTCCTCGTCTTTGTAGAATCTTACCTTGGAAGCCTGTTAGTGGTAGGATTTCAGCACCAAGATCCCTCCAACCACCCTCCAATCACGTTGAGTCCAGGAAGGGTCAGATCTCTCTGCCCTGTTCTGCCCGCAGCGGCCCCATCTGAGTAAGGACAGGTGGTTCTCGCTGTCAGCAGTGACAGCTTGAGATGTGGGTCTGGGCTGCACTGAGTGCCTTAGGAGAGCCACACCTGAAAACCCTGCTTTCTCTACTGTGACAAGTGACACCACTCAAACACCTTCAGGCCTCAGGAAAGGTCTGTCCCCACCCTACAGCAGAGGGAAAGTGTGCCCCACAGCCACACTTTCTTTCAAAGAATGGGGACCCAAGATCCCAGGCAGTGAGGGTATAGGAGACAAATGGGCAGTACCAACCCTTAACTAGGGCTGCCTGCGGGATCTGAGCAGGCAGGTGGGGGCATGGAGCATGTGCTGGGCCATCTGTTCTCCCGACAGCTGGCTCAGGATGAGCCACTCAATCAGATGCCAAGTACTGATTGACAGCCTACTCCATGCAAAGCTGTGGCCCATGTGAACTTTGTCCTCAGACGGAAAGACACTTGGTGTGGCTTCGTTCTGTGATTTTCAATAAAAAGCTGGTATGTTTGCTCCTTGAGGGGCAGGGGCAGTGACATTAGCTTGAGCCTCCCAGTGGAATGCTGTGTTGTGATTTTAGTCCTGGGGTGGGGGCAGGACTGGGTGCCCCCTGTTCTCCAGGCCCACACAAAGCCCACCCTAATCTGCTACTTAGACACATGGCCTGAGCGTGGAGTAAGAGGGCTGGGAAGCTCTGCATCAATGACCTTGGACCAGAGATCTTTGTTCTAATCCCAGCCCCGATAGACAATGGTTGGGTGACCTTGAGTCAGAGTCTTAACCTCTGAGCCTGACCCTCCCTCCTTTTAGAACAAGGAAGGTTAAATGAAATGGTTTCCCAGACTTCTCCGTGCCACAAACCCCATAGCATCTGCTCAGGCACTCTTTCCTGTACTAGCCCTTCTTGGCCACCCGCTGGTTGGTTAGATTTAACCCCTTCAGATCTAGGCTTACAGTGACAAACCCAAGCCTTTGTTATCTGGCATCTAGGAAGACATGAGATTCTGCCATGTCATTTGACACAAGAACTACCTGCTCTAAGTGCTCTGTCTGGGAGCAGAGGAAGCTAGGGGAAAGGGTGGCATCTGGCTGGGTCCCAGAGTTGCATCCTCTGAGTGAGTCCCAGGTAGGAAGATGGAAGACAGGGAAGGAGGAAGCCGGTGGGAAGGGTCTACAGGGACTAACGTTGACAAAGGGCCCAAATACTCCCTCTCGTACCCTGTGCTCCATGACTATGCTGAGGCGTTGGTTTAAGATTGAAGTGGCCCGCTTATGAGCCATCACACCCAGCCCAGGGCCTTCCTTTATAATGTAGTGCCCCTGACACCCTAGTGAGATTAAAGCTGTAAATGTGTGCAGAGCATCCCCGCACGCCAACTGTTGCTGTGCTTGTTCAACTTCTGGCTTTTTGGAGTGAGTACTGTGTACTTGGGCCTGGAGTTCGGTGGGCTGTTTCCCATTAGAGGTGCCGGCATGGATCTGTAGATAAGCCCTGACCTACACTGGGCCCCTGGCCATACCTGGATGGTTGTGTGGATGGGACAGGTAGAGACGGGTAATGCTGACTTTGTCTCTCAAAATCCCAGTGAGCCTGAGTCAGGTGGTCTCACCCGCCCAACCCCTCCCCTCATCTCAGGCTCTAGACCCTCCTCTGCCTTAATCACACTGAACATCTGATGAATGGGATGATGGAGAACCCAACAGGATTGAATACTTTACCTACAGCCCTTATTTCAGAACATATAAACCATTCATTCTTCACACCAGATCTGGGCACCGCCTCAGGAGCTGGTGACACTTCTGAACTCAAGGGTCCCTAACACCCAGCCCTAGCCCTATACCTGGGCCTGCCTCCCTGGCAGGGAGGTTCTGGAACACCAGGAGAGCGGCATAATCCTTCATACAAGGCAATTTTCTCCTCATTCAACTTTAGCCTTTCCCAAATCAAGAGTCAGGTCATTGTCTACCTTGGTAGTATTTATTGCTAAAGTTATCATGCCCTGTAATCAGTATTAACATCACCATGTAAAGTAATACAAAACTAATTACTAGCTACTCTGAATTAGATGCACAGCAGCCCTGAGCCTAGGCCTGGGACAGTGGGGAGGGGAGGCAGTTTTCAGCTCTCAGAGAGACCATGGATGCTGTGCCGCAGATCAGCAGCTGCTAGCTGATCCCACTGCCAGGGGACCTAGGTCACCACTGTGGTTCGACAGACGGTGGGAGGTGGAAAGCAAGGTCACACCTCTCTTTAGTTTTTTCCAGATTATTACATATTGAGAAATTCCCCAGGGCTCAAGGTACTGGGCGGTCAGCCACTGCTGAGGGCTGCCGCTGAGTGTCCTTGTGTCAAATGCATGTGGGTGCCCTACGCTTCTCATGCCAGCACTGGGCGGTCAGCCACTGCTGAGGGCTGCCGCTGTCTGAGTGTCCTTGTGTCAAATGCATGTGGGTGCCCTACGCTTCTCATGCCAGAACTGTCCCCACAATCCGGGGTGATCATCCTCATTCTTAAAATGACACTGAGGCTCAGGAAGGTGGAGTAACCTTTATGGGGCCCCAGGTGCAGCCCCGACTCAGTCTGACGCTTACGACGCCTGAAGATCAGGTGCTGCCAAAACAGAGGGGGAAATACACAGGAAAAGGGAAAGCTCAGTGTCACAGGGCATCAGGAGAAGGTGCTGGGCACGTCCCCAGGTCCCACCAACCTCTGTCAAGTGTGCTGCAGAGCTGTGGATGGCTTTCTAGCTGTGTCACCAAATGTCCTGTGGCTGCGGACCCAGACACTTTGCTTTCAAAGGGAAGAGAGGAAGGGGCAGTTTCAGGGTCAGAACCCCAAGGCCAGGGGTTCTTTCCCCGCTCCACTAAAGCTCAGGCCTAGGCAGGTTCCCTTACCCATAGAGACACAGGGCATCTGAGAATGTATATTGGGGCTCCTTCACCTCAGTCTCAGCACAGTACCAGAGGTAACATAGGAGCCTGGAGCCTCCTCGGTGTTAGAGCATTCAATTGGCAA